GAAGCCAGAATTTCCACGGGTGTATGCTAGAGGGCTATTAGGACATATTATGGCATGCCATACAAACAAGAATGAAGATATCACGTAGTATGCTATAGAGAAAAATGGACTGTAACGAAACAAATGAGTTTGAAAATGTCGCGCTCACATGAATGTCGTAGAGGAGTCCGACCACATCGTGTAACTATGAATAACCCATACATACTGCATATCAGAGAATGGTGACAGTAAGTGCCAGTGTTTTGGCTTCGAAGACATTCCATTTGAATAACGGGGTAGATGAGATGAAAGGTTGCTCTATCAGGCAACGTCCTAGGATGCCTTGAGATAGAGGCTGCTATCTAGGTTCAGGAATATTTGGGATATATACATTTGTCACCACATGACCATTAGAATCGAGGATCCAGCTGTTGCGGGCATATACTCTGGGGTCATTGACAGCGATAATCCAATCCGCATCGATCTGACCCCCAGTCACACTTAGTTCTGGGTATACGATCCTCCAGGCTTCTGCGCTGAGATATGTACGCGCCAGAGTATTACCCCATCTCTGCAATTCGCCTCCCCACCTATCAGCATCCGGAGTCTGATGCACTCTGCCGATGTCCCAGTGAGCATTTCCGGAGCAGTAAAACACGCTCGATCGGTCCGTAGTGGGGGTTTCAGGATCGACACGCAGGTTACTACCGGCCCTATAGGTGTATCGGCCGTGGTAAACTTGGATGGACTGGGTGCGTGCGTAGGTCCGCTGATCGACGGAAACGAATGGATGAATATTGGATCTCACTCCCATCTCGTCAAAGTGTATGTGGAAGATGACCCACTGGTCTGCACCAGTGCCGTCCCCCATATCGCGGTACCGATTGTAGGAGCTGTCTCCCACAGTCCCCACCTGCGGACCAATCCAGTAGGCGAGTTCTAGGATGAGCCCCGGCCTGATTCTAGAGTTGCGTCCCGCTCTTGCCGCCCCATACCTCAGCCAACGTGCGTAGTTGAGAGGAAGAGTTTCAGCATTGACCGCTTCTAGAATCTCCAACATACCGGGAGACTTTTCCCTTGTAGAGTCGCCTGATTTGAATAACAAGACTCGTTAGCAAAGCTGCATCATTTGACTGAAATTGTTAAGCCGGGTGTGATGGGTAACTTACCTAGACCATTGATGTGTCGTTTACCCTCTCCTAGTCGGGGCAGCAATACCTCCCCATGCAAGAATCGCTTGGTAGATGTGGAGGTAGTGGTGCTGTCATCGCCATCATTGTTGTCATTATCAAGGGTGCAGAGATGATCCATAGCCAATTGAACATCGTAGATATCAGAGGCTGCATTGATGGGATCCCGAAGAATATCCGTGATCCAGGCAGTAATATCTTGTCCCGCTTCGGCAACGGTCGCGAGGAAAGGGGCTAAGTATGAGTACTGCAGGAGAAATGAGTAATAGCCAGCAAATTCCTCATCCCACATATCACGGAGTATCCTAACAGACCAATCGGGTGTATTGGAACTGAAGAGCATAGTGACCCATTTAATGAGAGACTGCCATTGGTCTAGTGTACAGGTCCTTCCAAGAAGCAACTCTCGCTTTTTCTTGGTGATGCTACCATCGGCTACACTGTAGAAGTAGTCGATACCTGGCACGCTCAGCTCATTATCATAGCAATAGGGATTGTCCATGTAGTTTGATAGCAGCAGAGCAAACTCTGCGTACTGCATGTATTCCCAGGTATTGTTTGGGGTGGTGTTCGTGGTGGTGGTCGTGGTGGTCTTGCCACCGCAGCAGTAGGCCTGCATATTGTAACCACAGCTTCCGGCTTCCATGCCGAGTCGAATGTAGTCAGTAGGGCAGGAGGTCTCGCAAAAGTAGGAATCCGGACCCCACACTGTAGTGTCTTTCTGATACCACTTGCAATCGGTGAACTCATCAGGAATCTCTGTACAACAGTAACTTTTACGACCAGAGGAACAGGTCTGTTCCCCCCCAGCCCCGTTGCTATCTGCGAACAGAAAATTGGGATAGTCATCGGGGCATGAATGGTTCTTACCGGACCCAGCGCAGCCCGGCGAGCCGCCAAACCACTTACACTTAGAATATGATTTGGTGGAGGAGGTGATGGTACAGCAAGCACTCTGATGACTGGTACGACAGCCCTCTTTCAGCGAGCCCACCTCGGCTTCCCCATCCTTACATCCGGCCTTGCAGAAGCCTGTGTTGTGGAAACCACGCCATGTGCACGTAGGGAAGTCTGTATCACTGGCTGGACAGCAGAACTTATGTTCACGACTAGGGGAGCAGCCAGTGGTGTCAGTCATTGTTAACTTTGTCCCATCGCGCGGGACCTCCTTGAAGCCGCTGGGGCAATCATCGCCACAGTTGGTCCAGCGACATTGACTCAAGGTATCGCGAGTCTTCGTTGTCGTCGTCGCGGTTTGGCGCTGGGAAAGTAGCCCAATTTGTACTGGCTCCATAATCGCCACTCCCAAGCCCGAAGTGAGAGCTTTAGCCCAGGTACCATTGGTGTCATCCTGAGTGGCCGCCCACACCATTACCCCGGAGATGCACTGATCTTTGAACCACTCACCCTTCAACTTCCAGGTATCTTCATCATCGTAGGAAACCCATTGATTCTCCCAATGAATGGCCTTCACGGCAGCGTCCTTGTAGAGAGTCGGTGTGAGGCCATTCTCGCTGATGATGTCCATGATCTCTGGGTTTAGCAACACACCGGAGGTAATAGAACAACTACCCGCGTCTCCTCCAGATATAAACTCACAGCCGGGCTCAGAGCACTCGGCGTCCTTAAGGGTAAAGCTTCGGCCATAAAAAGCCATGCCAACAACCACCTTGCTAGAGTCAATGTCGTTACGCCAAAGTAAGTCAAGAGTGGTCTGCAACTCGGTCATATTGGTGTGTGCATTGATATATGGGCCGGTCCATTTGCTATCTTCGTCCCAGGTGCCGTGAAGGTCGTAAGCCATAATGTTGAACCAGTCCACATATTTGGACAATCTCGCGACATCAAAATGTTGCATGTCTAGGAATGATTAGTACCAGGACGAAATTTAGCCGACTTGCTTGTTTGGAGGCGGGTGAAAGCATAGTAACATACAATAGTAACTAGACGGTAGAGTGATACTGATTCCTTTATTTGACCCTGTTCCAGATAGACTGCTCTGCAGGCTCTTCAGGAATTTGGGGAAATTATCGTAATCAGCGGATGTTCCGCCACGATCCTCCTCGACAGGGTATTCCCTATCCCGCAAAATGTAATCAGCATAAATCATCGATATGCAGGGAGGTGGGAGCCCACCAATCGATGTCTACACCATCAAAGCCATAAGTGCCCATGAATGAGATCAAAGAAGCAAAAAATGCCTTCTGGTCTTCCTCAGAAGCAGCCAGGTCTGAAAATGTATAACGCGTAGACTGGTCGGCATCACTGAACGACCACCCGCCCAGTGATAACCAGATTTGAAGATCAGGTTGGATCAACTTAAGTGATCCTATCTCCTGCAAGAGCGTTTTTTCGGTTTCATCTGTGGCTTGTACCGAAAAAGTGGACGGGTCAATGGTACCAAAGGCAAAGCTGTTTTCCAATTAGCTGAGCAACAACCTAGTGCATGATGATGATGCTCTTACTTGACGTGTGTGTAGACTCCATAGGGAATTTCCGAGGGAAGAAGTACATTGCAGGCGCGCGAAGTCAAAGCATAGGCCTCGTAATAGCCGATGATACGAGAAACGTTCTGACTTGAGGCATCGCATGATGGTCTGGTAATGGTGGTGTCGCCGCAAAAGTCGCTCGTTGTACCACAAAAGCCATAGCTATAAATAGGAGCGCTCAGCTATGATTCAATACTACTTTACAGAGCTCAAAAACGTACGGACTGCAGCAGACGTTCAGAGGACATGTGCTGGCATTGACATAAGTTGGACCCCAATTGTCAGGGTCACATTCAGCCTTGGCACCACAACTAGCCGTACAATTCCCCTGCCTGATGAAGTAGTCTGTTAGCGATATGTATTATATGCAGTCATTGGGGAGGATGGATACATACCCGCAAAATGTTGGGCCCATGCCGCATACTCCGGACTTGCCACAGCATCCGAGAGCGCAGGGATTAGATTCACTGCAACTCTGCTGGAGAGACTGGCCAGCCAGGGCCAGGAACAAGCCCAGCCACGATAGCAGTGTATACATTTGAATGGGAAAAAGAAGACACTTACTCGAAGAAATCATACGGAAAGGCGAGGGGGGCAGTGCCTCTTTATCTGCGGGGCATCGCATCGAGTCTTGATCGAAGTGAACATGATCGTTACCCCCTTCCTCCAATGACTGGTATGGTGTATCATGAAAATCCTTGTTTCGGACCCATGACCTGTTCCTGACTATTTTTTGGCTAGTTATGGCAGCGCCGGTGACTGTGATTATGTGGGGATGCTAGGAAAGGTACTCTAGGCACCCAAGGGCCATAGCTCGACCGTCGCTTAAGAGCACTGTGGGTATAAGTTCTGCTCTCAAGAAAATTTTGTATACCCAGTATTGGGCTACCGAGGTGTAGTGTTAATCAGTGATCTATATAACCTATGAGAACTTTTTTACTCTCCTCATGTCGTCCGGCAGCGTGCGTTAATCGCATAAAGAGATGCCGGGCTAGGGCGGATAAAGCGAGGCACGGAAGGTACGGATAAAAAGCCTCGCCATTATTTAAACCTATTATCCCCTCGCTTATCACAGGGTGAACTCGGTAGGTTGAAGCTAGACTGTACCCCACAATCCAATCTCCGAAGTCTACTTTTCGAGCCCAATGGCCGGACCCTTCGGATAGGCTAAGGGTCCAAAATTACAACCCCTGAGTCAATGATACACGTTTCGTACCGTCTCACTAACTGATGTAAGACATAAGACTGAATGCTCGGGTAGGCATGAAAAGGTAGAAATTCTTTACTTTTTCACACAATTGTCCGCTCGCTGCTGGTGTCGAATCTACAGCAGACAGTCACCATGGGCTACTTCCAGTTTATTGTAGCATTCTCGTCGTTGTCCTTCTCGGTGCAGGGCACTCTCGGGCATTCCCTCCGCGGTCATAGTCATTACTCCCACTCGCACTTGCATTGGCATCAAGCACGCGACTCCGATGCCAGTTCATTTCAACTAGTACCGAGTCAGGCATTTAGCAGTTCTAATCTCACGCAGAGCTGCCAAGATGCCCTATACGCTGCTCTGGAGTGCGATAGCTATGTCTCCAAGCTTGGAGAACCGGTCTGGCATGGTAGTCTGGAAAATACAAGCTTGACTGACACCGTGTGCTCGACTGAATGTGGCCTGTCTCTGTTGACCCTCCATGACCAAGTTGTGGCTCAATGTGGCACAGATGCAACTATCGCACAGGGAATTCCGGCTCTTTCCGTGATTGATAGCGTCTGGACAGGCTGGAATGAAACGTGCTTGAAGAGTGCAAACGGCACCTACTGTAATGGTTCGTTGGCTTTTCACTATTGGAGACGACACAGTAAATTGACAGATAGATCACTGGCACTAGATATTATCGATTCTTGGGATTCGGCGTCTGACTTGAGCGATGTGCCCAGGTCGGATATTTGTGACGAATGCTGGATTAGGAAGTTAAAAATGATGCAGCGGTCCCCGTATTCGGCTTATAACGAGCCTTACGAGACTATGCTCAATTATTCAGTTTCAGGTAAGTCCATGCTATCACCTTGCAGAGATTGACAGCTGGAAGGGTGCGGACAACTGACAAAATTTATGATTTACCCATAGTCTGCAACCTTACGGGTGTGGAAACAGAACCGACTTCTGGAGGCATTGCTATACCTGCAGCCGACCCCACTTGCTCAACAGATACATGGTACACGGTTCAAAAAGGAGACACGTGTGATTCTATCGCCATAGCTCACTCTTTCTCCTCCTCAACCCTGTATCAAATCAATCCGACTTTGTATAACTGCAGTGATCCAACCGTGGGGCTCGACCTGTGCCTACCATTAGCATGCGAGTATATCTACCAGGTTACTGCAGCTGACAATTGCTCCACAATTGCTGCTACCATCGGCACACCGTGGATGAAGCTTGTAGCATATAATGGCATGATCGAAAGCGATTGCTCGAATATAGCCGATACAGCACTTCTAGGTGGAGTGAGATGTGTTTCTCCTCCCGGAGGAGCTTTCAATCTAACAGTTTCGTCCAATTCGAGCTCAGAGTCAGGCATAGATGGACAGGGAGGATCTGGATCAGGATATGGTACCAGTTTCGTTGCTTTGCCAAATGATGTCACGCTAGCTGATGGGACCACCACCGACTGTGGCCAGTATTATACCGTGGTATCGGGTGACAGTTGCGTGTCGGTCTTGGCCCAGGCAAATACGCCGTTCAACTTATTCATGGCTGCAAACCCTTCCATCTCATCCGCGTCGACCTGTGACGGAGAACTGAAGGTTGGAGTTACATATTGTATTCACCCTATGAGTGGCTTCAATGCGACTGACATAAATGGCAACTTGACTATTTCGACGAATGGACTATGTGGCAATGGCACCACCTGTCTGGGATCATCGTTCGGAGACTGCTGTTCTATCTCCGGGTATTGCGGCAGCACCGCAGACTATTGCACGGCCGGGCTCTGCGATTCTTCCTACGGCCTATGTGTTTCAGGCAACCCTGTTTCCCTAGATGGCCTCTGTGCGTCGCGGTCATCAACTAATGCGACATGTGTCGGAAGTCAGTTTGGGTCTTGTTGCTCGCTTGATGGATATTGTGGTGATACATCCGACTACTTTACCTACAAGTCATGTCAGAGTGCTTTCGGAAGTTGTGAGGAAGCACCCACGATCAGCTCTGATGGCTTATGCGGTGCCCTCTCTTCGGTCAACGCCACCTGCGCGGGTAGTTCATTCGGGAACTGTTGTTCGATTAACGGATATTGTGGGAGCACGTCGGACTACTGTGCTTATACTAGCTGTCAAACAGCATTTGGCACATGTGATTCTGGACCTATCATCAGTTCGGATGGCTTGTGTGGAGCACTTTCTTCTAATGCAACATGTGCGGGTAGCGCTTTCGGAGACTGCTGTTCAGTCAATGGCTACTGTGGAAGCACTGACGATTACTGCGGGATTGACTCCTGTGACTCCTCATTTGGCACTTGTGATACTGTTACTGTGAGCCCTGATGGGCTCTGTGGTTCCATGTCCTCTGTCAATGCAAGCTGTGCTGGCAGCCAATTCGGCGATTGCTGCTCCACGAGCGGCTATTGTGGCAGCACAGATGCATACTGTGGTGTTGGTCAGTGCCAGTCGGCATTTGGAAGCTGCACTGAGCAGCCAATTAGTTCCGATGGCCTTTGCGGCTTTATGTCCTCAAATAGCGCCACGTGCCTGGGCAGTCAGTTCGGTAATTGCTGTTCGGTAAACGGATACTGTGGCAGCTCAGATGCCTATTGTGCAGCAGCAAATTGCTTGTCAGTATATGGCAGTTGTTCTTCATGAGTGAGTGGCATCTGTGCACAGCACCATATAAGACAAAAACTTTCTTTTGGGCCTAGACATATGTTGTTTAGAGCGGGTTTCTTTTCTGGGCAGACTAGCCAGCGGGCTGTCTCGCATTGTATCCTACTGCCCCGCTATCCGTATTTTACATACAAATTCCGTAACATACCCCGCGAGACGTATCAATGCTAATCCGCCGGGTATTGTACTCTTCCCTACTCCACTTCAACTTCCTTTCTCTACTAGAAGCCAGAGTTTTTATCTTCCTTTTGCATTTCACTTTCATTTGTTTCTCTTCACATTCTCCAATCATTATGGCGCGCTACCCAGTAATCCCATATAACAGAGACGCTGGCCCTGACGAGCAGTTAATAGGGTGGACTTGCGTTGGCAATCTCACCGCCGTGGCTGCGATTCTTGAGTCCCCCGAAGGTGTGGATCTTCCTCATTTTGGTGACACGGCGCTACATGAGGCCATCAGATGGGAACAGCCAAACATCCTCCGTTACCTGGTTTCCCGAGGGTTCGATGTCAATCAGAAAGGTGTTGAGCCTTACGGTGAAATTTGCCTGACACCTTTGCATCTTGTCGCTGCGAACAACTCGTCCGAGATGGTGGATATCTTGCTCGACGCAGGGGCAGATGCAACGGTGGATGACATTGGAACAGATGGACATCGTGGCACTCTTGGGGGAAGGATAAGCGAGCCACACACTCCTTTTATGGCCGCAGCATTCAATGGCTCCGAAGCTGTCGTACAGCGGTTGATTGATCGCCTACCCCCGGACAGGATTAGCAGCCGTGAATGGCCGCTCGCCATCGCCGCAGCAGCATCACATCGTTATCCAAAAACGCTGGACATTCTGCTCCGTAATTATCCTGCACCGGGGGTACCACAAGATGTTCTTGACCGGGCTCTCGCTGATGCCGCTGACTACGAGGTGTACGACCTCTACTATCCAAGGATCCCGGACGAACCAGAGGTTGCCTGGCAGAGGGGCATTGAGACGTTCCGGCTGTTACTTGCCCACGGGGCCAGCCCAAACGCAAAACCCCCATTGTCAATATACAGACGCTCCTGGGTTAAGCACCGACCAATCATCTATGCTACTATTGATTGCTCGATGGGCTTGGATATGGTCGATATGCTCGTTGACCACGGAGTGGACCTTCCCGAGGGGAGAAGCGGAGAAATGAGCCTTTTCGCTCGCGCGGTGCGCAACGGGCATCCGGATTTGATTAGATACTTCTTCGAGCGCGAAGGCGCCGTGATAGACATCAACGAAGAGATCCCGCAGACGGGGTCCTTCCAAGGGGGTTCTTTGCTGCACGCCGCCGCGAGGAGTGGTCGTTTATCCAGCGTACAGTTCCTGCTGGACCACGGTGCAGACCCCCTCACGGTGAATGCCAACGGTTGGCTGCCAGTCCACCAAGCCTGTCAGCGTCGTCAACTCGATATCATTAAGCTGCTCTGGCCGCGCACGTGCCCTTGGTTTCCGGATTTAGCGAATTATCGCACGAAGGACGGCCAAACCGCATTCCATCTCGCCAACTGCTGGTCGTCCTATAGCCCCGAGGATCCCGAGGTTGAGGCACATAGCATGCGCCTCTTCCATTTCTTCAAAGAACAGGGCGCTGATCTGAGTAGTCTCGATGACCGAGGGCGAAGTATCCTTCACTATACGCTGCCCCACTGTGAGAACATGATTCCACGGTTTTGCACTTTTATGGAGGCAGGAGCACAGTTGCGGGCCGATGCTCAAGGCCAGACAGAGCTCCACCTTACTCTACTTGATCCAGACTGGGAGCTGGTGGGCCTGAGGTTCCTTTTGGCCCACGGTGCTGACAAGGATATCAACGCACAAGACAACAAGGGCCGCACGCCGCTGTATTACTACCTGGAGACACATTATTATGAGCCGGAAAACAACCAAAGCGCTCGGCATATCCGGGCGGTTGTTTTAGATGTCCTAATGAAAGCCGGGGCCGATCCTGATATTCGTTCCGTTTCAGGCAAGTCTGCCAGGGAACTCGTGGTCGAGAAAGGGGTTCCGTATAATCTTGATGAGTAGGGACATATGGTGTATTCGAATATTGGAAATTTACTTGTCACTGTACGATATTTTTTTGGAAATAACGGGATATTTCAAAGCCTTTGTAAGATGCTCGGTTAGATTAACGATAGCATTATTATCTGATCTGCCCTATCGGAGTGCTATTCACAAGATCAGAATTTATGGTTGCACTAGTCATGTTGGGCTTGCGATGGCACATCCCTGTGACCTATGTATGTCTATCGACATCCCCGTCAGCCCACACTCTTTAGGGAACCATATACACAACACCGTCAGACCCCCATCTTCATCACCTAAGCCCCAGCAAGAAACCCGGTGGTCTGCATCATTAACATAGAACCCTACGATTCCGCATACATTTTCTGCCCGAAATAACCCCGGATCAATAACCACGTTGATATACGTCGCCGTCACCATAGCTGTCCTAACATCCGTGGCCTTTGACGCGTTTCCAGTAGACAGATGTGCGCATGGACGAAACCGCTAACAGAGTCAAGGCCAGCAGCGCCGCTGGAATCATTACCCGTCTGCTGCTGCTTCACTGGTCCAGTGTGAGATGGTCCCCCCTTGTTCACTAATCTTACAACCCAAGAGGTATGCACCGTAAGCTGGCTATTGTAAGAAAAAGACCCGGAATATTCAATGATATTCTAATTACTACACAAACTCAACGTACTAAGTACCCCTCCGTAAGGTTTAGATATTCACCTTCGCGCTGTAAATTTGTAGCAAATTCTTAGATGAATGAAAGAGCGTGGTTCAAGCTCTGGGCAGGTATTCCTTCTTCAAAGGAGCCAACCCAACACGGATATTGTATGTGTCAGGATCAAAAGATCCAAAGTCGAAAACAGCATAGAAGTTGCTCAACCAATGCTGTCCAATGATAGTATTGTAGCTGTCCCACGGATTGAAAGGAGGGAAGCAATGGTCGTCGTCCTGATACCCTGGTACAGCCAGCTGATCACCGGTCAAGTTGAAGGTAACGCCCTCGCCGTAGAAGCCCATTGTAAAAGAGATAGACCATGTATCGTTGAAATCGGAGCACAGAGGTCGGTATCCAGATGAGATATCGGCGTAAGAAAACGGGGTTAGAGCATACATGGCCTCAATCTGGTCGTTGGGGACGCTTATCGACGAAGCGCCTACGTCATTATATAGGTTAGTCCGACTATTTCAGCAGGAATACTAGTGTCGTAAGGGGGTACATACCAGTGTCGAAAATAACCTGGCCGTACCAGTTTAGGACCTCGCTTGACATGTTCTGGCCATTGGAGGTGTTGTGCCCTTGAATGCCAAGGATATTTGTTTTGTAGATTTCGAACGGGGAGAGCATAGTCATCCACTGCAGATCACCATCCGCATAGATATCCTCATGGCTACCACCGAAAGTAAACACACCGTTGTTCTCCGGATCAGGATTCGACGTGGTCGACACACCGGAACCTGCGTATAGGGCAAATCGAGGTTCATCCAGAAGTCCATCCTGCATCATTTGTTCGAAGGCGGACGTGGTATTTTTGAAAGCGATGGTGGAGGATGCCAAACCAATGAACCCATCAGCTGCCAATGCCGCCCAGGTACTGTCGGTGATGACCGCAAAGGTTTGGCGATAGGAGACGTCAGTGTCTGGCACGGTGAGAATATCCGTGGCAGTAAAGCCGCTGACGGTGCCCCCGCTGTAATCAATGCTGTCTTCGATACCCAAGTTGACGCCGGTAGAAGTGAGATTATAGCTGTGTCGAGGGTAGCTGGTAGACGTCAGTAATATAGTCGTGAAATAAGGGGGAGTGATGTACTAACCCGCTCACGTTCACGCAATCATCTGTGCAATTGCTATCGAGCACCCAGAGCGTTGATGATCCAGTGTCGTACATCAAATCAAACGGGCCTCCTGGGGTTCCGAGGTCAACCTCGATGGTCCTCTATTTCCACGAGTAAGCAAACAAATTTGAGGGAGCTCGACTTCACATACATAACCATTTCGGACCTTAATATCGAGGTCCAATACATTCCCCAGAGCGGCCGTGGCCAATGCCGGAAGGAGTAGCAGGGACTTAGACGCCATACTGAATAATCAATTCGCGCAAGTTGAAGAAGGAAAACAATGGCGTGGATGACTCTATTTAAGCACACCAACCAACGCCTCCCTGAAGATCGAAATGCCAAGCCTTCAAGAATAATCCGAGACAAGTGACATGCGGTGGAAACTAGCGGGCCGGAACAACCGATGCTGTTGGACAAATGAGATACCCAGTGAGACACCCGGTTTCATCCTAGCCTTATTTTGTTCAAGCCCTCAAGACATCCACTAACCTTCTGTGTACGGAATCCGACCTAGGGCATGACATGCTAAAAATAGTCCCAGCTAACAGTCCGACATGTCTCGCTACTCAATAAAATTCGGTCTGATATTGGGACAATCTTGTATAAGAACGGCCAGTTTTGGAGGTACCGCTATAAGCCAGTCCTATTGTGCACTAGTTCCTGATGTCTTCTCGGAGTATCCGCCTCTACGGATCAGGATCGAGATAATTTATTGAACCCCACAATCCAATAAGAGTAAAAGCAACAACAGCCTGGTCGGTACAGAGCTTTTTTATACAAACTGTCATGATTCTATTGTTTCTGATTGCATTGGCCCGGCCTCTCGATCGGGAAGTCACGTGACTGGAATGTAGCTATATGCCCCACAATTTGGCAAGGCTTGTTCATCCTCCTGAAATTTGGAGTGTCATTAAGATGTAGATAAGGAGTAATAAAGAGTCGGGACTGGAAAGAAGACAACGAACGTAATATATGGCGCGAACAGGAGCAGATTGGATGGTGACCGAAATATAGTATCAATGCCACAGCTCTCTCACACATTATTGTACCCTTGGTAGGGCTTTGGGGTCTGCTCTTCTGAGAAAGATGTCATGTCATAATCATTGGGGTGATGGAGTAGCTGGCCGATTTCTTGCGGATGAATAACGTTGAATATGGCCATGGTGATAAACATCAACAGTGCATCAAAAATATAAAGAAAGGCCTCGTGGTGCAAAAGAAACCCGTTATTTCCTTGAATGTACTCAATGAGTCGAAACATCGAACGGACCATGATAAAGAAGCTCGTCGCGTAGAGTACCTTCATGTGTTTCTTCCAAGGAATATGCGGAGAACAAGATCGAGGGAACGGATACTTCTTGACCTTCAGGTAGAAGTGGGTCGCGGTGATCATGAAAAATGCGAAGAAGAATATTTGAATCACGAGGCCGACGACGATGATGTGCTCGCCGGTCTTCATGGCAGATAGGCTGCCACTGGACTGGATTCCGCCGCCTGGACAGTGTCAGAGAGCTGTTAGATAATGAGGGATTTAATAAGCAAACACGTACCTGCTCCCTGCAATAAGAATGAAAGCACATCACCCGTGACAAATATCTTCGTCAACCACTTCTTTTTCAGCAGTGCGTGGGTTTCAGCCTGTAACACTAGGATAATTCGACCGAGTAGCATGTATATAGAGGCTGCAAGGAGAGCAGGGGCGAGTAAGAGAAAGAGCGTCTGCACGATGTATGGCCCGAACGTCCAGTTGGGGCTTTGCTTGCTGGACATGGCACGTCCGATATATCCGATGATCTCAACTAGGAAAGTCAGCATATTGCTAGGCTATGAACAGTGAAGAGTATCATACATATACCACCTATGACAAATGGAATGAAGAACCATGTGCGAAACTTGACCATTTGAAAGACATGATACCCTGTTGTGCCAATGAAGAGAAGGATGAAAAGAACGGCGCCACCCATGCTGGGGTCATAGCGGTAGAATGCGAATTCATAACTTTCTGAATCTCTGGGGTCTAACATTTTTGTAATGAACGGAATGGAACAGCAACCAAGTAGAGACAAATAAGATTGGAAAAAAAGTGTGGGAAATAATAGATAAGCAGTAGTTAGAGAAGGAGGGCCTGGGAAGTCTTTCGAATACCAAACGGAGAAAGTCTCTGTTATCAAGCTGGGTACTTATACTATCGGTCCATAGTACCATGGGGCTTCGAACAACAGACTAACAGAAAATGGACCCGCACAGGTGAGGCTGAGGAAATGTCCTGCAATGAAAATTATGTTGTCTATAGGATGATACCATGGGGCTACGGATACACTTTTCAGTACTATGGCCTTAGGATTGTCCACCCAGCGAACGGGGTGGTTTATTCGGGGTCCAAAAGTCAGTCGGATCAAGAAGCTTGAAACAGACGCTACTGTCTAGAAAGTAGCTGCTATTGGATGCGAACATCCTATGCTGAGCAGTTGGTGAACTTTTCCAGATCTATAGTGGGGCTCCATTCGTATATTCGTTTAAGCCGGAGGACCCCTGTTTCTATTTTGGTTCGTTTTCGTTTTCGTTTCCGCCCAACTTAATATCTTGATAAATCTACCGCGGACCAGAATTGGTAGAAAGTGCATAAAGCCAGGAAGAATTTCTTCGTGTCCGTGATAATCTGAAATTTCCATTTGTTGCAGAACAATATATGATCCTTCAATTTACGTATGACATCTGCTTTTCTCTTGTATATTGCTATCCTACAAGTATTCGACTGTGTCATAACGGAAGGTACGAAGGACACATTCAATCGGTCGCTCTGATAGAAAATTTCTTTAATTAACCGGATTTGACGAGTTCATTATCTCCTCGACAATATACGGATGGTTATGATCCCTAATTATTCTTTATATCCATTGCTTGTCCTGTCGACAAACAGTCTCCCTTCGATAATGCGGTCCGCTACTAACCACTAACCCTTTTGACATGAACGTCTCCTACCAACCGCGCATTTCCCTAGCAGCATGATAACTCTTTCAACTATCGAAATAAAAGTCAAGTCGCTTATTCCCCTCGTCCGTGGTTGTCTCCAAGTAAGTCGCCTTCTCCTGGGCCGTCATCTTGTCCCACTGAGCCTTCTTCCAACGGTTCCGAGACACATAATAAAACTTGGCCAACGCGTACATGACAATAGTGGCAACATTGATCGCAATCAGCTGCCTATTTCCACGGCGATACAGAGGCTTATCATCCGATCGATAAATGTTGGAAGAGGCAATTCCAGACAGTTGAATCATGATGTTAAAGACCGCTGCACCGACTGCTCGAGTTCTGACACTGTTACTTAGCCGTGAACACCAACTCACCTGGGCAGCTTGCGGATTTGGCCAGCCCAGCAAGATAAATGAGACGGCATAGAGCCCCCAATTGGAAAGGCTTCCAGCAGATGTATAGAGGACAATGAGAAGTGGAAGTGACCACAGCTGTGTCAGGAGGCAAACAATTGAGATCTGGCCCCAGAACTCAGATAAGAGCGCGACGAGTACAAGATTGATAGCGGCAAAGACAGTCACTGGAATGGACAAGAGGGTCGTCTGGAATGTGGAAAAGCCGATCGCCTTTAGCGACAAGGTCAGATATGACTTCGGAGGTGAAGTCGGGATCTCGAACATGATCCCGATGATATATATCGGCCAGAGATCGTAGTCTTTCAGACTCTTCCACAACATCCCCAGGGACAATGCTTGGCGATTGTGCATGTCGCCCTTGGATGGGTCATCGCGCAGCACTCTATTGACGATGATGGTCTCTTCTCTTTCTGAGAAGATTCCTTTCGGGTTCCACCACGTTCTGGTCTGAGTGGGTCCAGGGACCAGAAACAAGAAGCTTAAACAGCCGATCACGAAACTGATCAGCGCTTCGATTAGGAAAAGCCATCTCCATCCTTCCCGCCCGTCAACTCCGCGCATATGCAAGACACCGTACGCAATGAAAGATGCGATGACACCCGATATCGAATCAGTGAACCAGAAAAGTGCCAGGCGGAACGGCATCTCCGCCTTTGTATAGAAATAGGATAAGTACAATATGGAGTCGGGGATAAAGCCGCCCATGAACAGCCCTATGAAGAATCGACACGCGAAGAATCCCGCTCGGTTGTGCATGAAGAATTGTCCTCCGGATGCAAAGCTCCACAGGATGATTTGAACGGGAATCCACCGATCAGGACCGATTGCTTTTCCGAGCATCTGCGAAGGGATTTCTGCAATTAGGAATCCCACGCGGTACATGTTCTGCGCATTGTTGTAGTCGTTCGTAGTCAGGTTTAGATCGCCGAGAAGGTTGTCGGAGTTGGCGTTGCTCAGGTTGCCTCGATCGAGGTTCAACCCGAAGAACATAACCAGGATCCAGAGAAGAATTGACCAGTCTGTTTTACGTCGGACTTTGTTCTCCTCACGATAGGTCCACCGTGCGCTGGGATCGAAGCGATGAAGATTCTCATATTTTGGATGGGGCTGGTAGAAAGGTGCGAGGGAAGGGTCGTCGAATACACTTCTAGTGGTCGCGATGGCGTCGGGGTCGTGTTTCTTGGTCCGACGGAAGAGAGAAGTAAGGACCGCATCGGAGCCAGGGGAATCATCCGGCTCGGCAAGGTTCACATAGGTTCCATCTTTCAAGTCTTGGCTTTTGTCAGCTTGGTGATCGCGATCCAATGAAGACGCAGCTTTGGAGGAATTTCGCTCCATAGTCAGAGCGATCCGTATACCAGACAAGAACAAGACGGTATAACAGCTAACCCAGGGCCGACCGAGATAGTATGGCTTGCTGGAGATGAATGCACGTTGGTCATCTTGAAGTTATATACATGTGATGGGTACATAGGGCAGTAGCCCCTCGAGGCTAGAGTACGAAGGTGCGTGATCGACGGTAACGATGAGGTGATGGGCATTTGCGTTATCAAAGTACGACCAAACATACTATACTATCAGTGCTAAGCAGAAGTATACTAATTAGATAGTAGTAAAATTATATTATATTAATCGAACGATGACAGCAACTAGCTGCTTCCCAGCTTGCTGATGTCTACGTTGGCGCAAACCGACCATGTGTTGCTGCTGCTGACCATCGTCGTCATGTAAGCGCGGATGACACAAGCTAGGGCTACTCCAATCACAGCCCACCCAGGACCCTGAAAGCTGTCGGTGCCCCTCCTGCTTAATTTACCGACAGTCGAGGCCCTGTTCAAATTTTTCTATCAGGATTGGTGGG